ACAAGGTTAATTTTGAAAATTTGGGCTCAATTTGAGCCAGAAAGAAGGCTAAAGTATTCTCACTGACTAATGTCATGGCATAACACATTGGTTAGCCTTAAACTATTCATTTAAGTGTTTGCTGAGGTCACAGGTGGGATTTATCAATCAGAACATCCATTGACTGACATTATGAGGAGCTATGATATACATTTTTTAGCAACTGTAACCAGACTGGAAGATATATAATTACACCAAAAGCCCCAAACAAATATAGTGTTCCAGCAGGAAAACACTGCTCAGTGCTTGGCTGCTTTAATCCTTCATGCCAGGTTCTGGTTTATTTTATTTTATTTTTGTTATTATTATTTTAGTCAGTGATTTGCACAAATCTATTCATTTTGATTATATGACTCGTAATTTACAGGATTGAATTTGATTTAACCATGCAGGCCTAAGTTCCTACTTTTCACCTTGTGCTTGTGCTAAAGATTTCACCATATTTATGGTACTGAGAGTTGTGTGGTCACTAATACTCAGTGATGGACACGCTCAGTGAGCTGTGAATGGATGTGAGGCTGCTACAGGGGTCAGTTTATATCCGTCTGCTGCCTTTAGCCATTTTAGTACTTACCAGTAGCTCTGCTACATGCATAGCACTTTATAAAAAATGCAGGTCTCATAGGTGTTTTCTAATAAAGTGCACAGTGAGTTTTCATACTTAACCACTGTATTTAAGCATAGACTGTATATAAAGGATACATGCAGTCATTTTCAGATTATCCTTTTCTTTCATAATGATCTTCCTGGCTGTAATGTCCATCTCCTATGCTACAACTGAAATGGAAAGAACACAGTATTTCATGCTGAATTCAACCATTTATTATGTTAAAAGTAGTACAGATGTAATATCAGTGGTGTAAACGTGGTTCTGTGACTATTGTGCGATGCCATGTTTTGTTGGCAATAAGCTAAACTAAATGGGAAAACTGTGGAGTTCCCAACAGGAAGGAGAACAAGAGAGGGGCAGGAAGCTGAACTGAGCCCGGTGTGTCAAATCTGCTGATTGCTTCAGCTTAGAATTACCCCGGTGCTTCCAGGCATACTAAAGAAAATAGCTGTTAGCCACTAATCTACCCAAGCTCACATCAAGCTATCATAGTAATAATATGAGCTGGACCTGATGTGGGTTACAGTCATTATTGTTTGAGCCAGATGTCCAAGACATCAGACATCTGGACCATTTAGGTGTATCAGAGGTGAAATCAAGCAGCCGGACTCCCCCTGAGTTAATCCATCAGTCAAAGTCAACTATGGCCAATGGAAAACTGCAGATGTGGTCCACATTCAGACCAAACATTCAGTGTTATCCGAATGAAGCCCCTAACTGCAGCCTCCGCAGTTAACCAACAGTTGAAACTCTATTCCTACTTCCTACTCCTGAAGACACTGAGCCACTGTGAGGTGGAAGGTAGAGTCAGTTTCCAGGAAGAAGCCATCTGTCGACATCTTTCTCTTCCAACTGGCAGTTTACCCGTCCACACTGAAAGGCTGCCATCTTTTCTGCTACCTCACACACCACTCTGTCTGCAGGCTGTCAGGAACTAAATTGTAATAGTATATTGTTAGGTAAGGGAGAAGATGGTTGAGGCTTTTCAGAGTATATTTTTATAATAAACATGTATGCATATTGTGTTCATTAGCACTTTAAATAAACTTAGCACAACAACTAAGTAGTAAGGACATTTTTGGTTGGTCAGTTATTTCTTTGCTGCAAAATTGCTTCTTGGCAATAAAATTGATACCAGTGGAAATCCATTCATGGGTTGAGCAGCAGAGTTAAGTATGTGTGTTGTGCCTTTAAAAAAAACTTTATAAATCTTCTCAGAATAAGCCAAACAGCTTATTCTGCTATTGACTCTTGTTTTGAGCCTCTGGTACCCTGGTGCTGACAATCTGGCTTGTCATCATTAGAGGCATCTCAATGCAGAGAGATATCAAGATGAGTCTCTGCAGCCAGGGGTAATCGCTCCACAGTCTTGGACCAAATTCTATCCTCCAACATTACAACGATCGCATAGACTTTGATCATCTGGTCAAATAAATGATACCAAACAAGAGCTGATAGCAGAATAAGCTGTTTGGCATTGGCAGAGGGGATTTTTTTCCAAGATTTTCATGGGCACAACCCACATACTTTACTCTGCTTTTCAACACACAAAAGCATTTTCCTCGCAAATGTGGCATCATCTAAGGGGAAATAAACAGGCTTTCCAGTGGTACAAGATTTATTGCCAAGAAGCATTATTACAACAAAGAAGTAATCGACCAAAACAAAGTTTCCTTACTTTTTGTGCTAAGTTTAGATATTGTTGAGATTGCTATGGAAACATGTTGTTAAAGATCAGCTGTTAGAATAACTTTGAGGAAAAACAGCTTCCTGAGTAGGTGCTGAGTCTGTGTGGACAGGTGGAGCTCATTTATATCAATCAGGGGACCTCAGGAGCCTCTAATTGTTCCTGGTGGAAGCATCTTCCCCACCTAAGAGGAGCTATTTTCATCTTGGTGTAAAGTTACAACATGTTGAGTATTTACAGAGTAATCACACTCAGTACCTGCAGTTACTGGGGACAAACAGCAGCAGCTTTTAACTCATTTACCTCTCGAGTTTTTGGATATAGCAGCAATTCATCATCTAATATCATCCTCTTTCATCACTAATGATGAAAACATGATTAGATTTTTTTTCTTAACTATTAACTGATCCTTTTGTGATTGCCAGATGTTTTACTTTATGGTTTTGAGGAAGTATATCAGCAGGTGTTTTTAATTGTTTAATTAAAAGTTCCCTGATCCGCTTAGCTGAAATTTGACTGTATGTTTACAGAGGCAGGAGGTGTATCAGATTAAATTAATTATATGTGTACTTTTTCACTGAGATGATATGATTTTTGGAACTGTTTGGTTGCTGTTGCAATGTGTTGGGGCTCATTTTCCATGTAACATTCCCCAAGTGGCTTCCTACTGATAATTTTCCCTGACCAAATATTCCAAATAATTGGTTTAGCACTTAAGGCTACAAAAAAACAATCCAGTTTCTTTCCACAATAGAAACCCAACACACAGAGAGTAAAGTCACACTGAGCTGAATCGTACAGTAGAAATTAGGTTAAATGTAGTTATCATAAAACATGTGCAAAGTCAAAATGCCTGACACACCGCTATGTTCCCTCTAAGCTGTGCGCGTGAGCAATCGCGCACTGCTGACACTGCTAAAGAGCTACCATTAGCATGCTAACAAGCTAAACTGAGATGGTAACCACTGAACCAGTTAAACAGCTTTTATTCTACAAAACTTCAGTATGGCTACAGTCTTTACCCGAGTAGAGAAGCATAATAGTATTAAAATAATAATAAATTGTGCTGCCCTATTTTCGTGGTATAACTAGACTGCATTTCAGGTTTAGCAGCTGGAATTAGCCTTGTTTTCTTGGTTGCTACCTGTTCTTCAGTGATTTTTTTTTTTTTTTTTTTTAAGGGGAAATCCAGAGTGAAAGTTCATGAACTCTGCATTGCAAAGTGTTGCATGATAAGTAAATTTTTCCAGTGTGCAGCAAAACAACTATAAATATACAAATGTACGCCTGTCAGGCCGCAGTGCTTTCTGCCTGTCACCCACACAGACATTTGTGTGATGATGGAGGCCTCAGTAGCTTGCCAGCAATAACTCATTGTCTCACTCATGGTGGCAAAAGTGTAATTTATTTCTGTCCCAGGCAAACGGTAGAACAGGACAACCCCTTTCCTCCAAAGCTAATAATACTAATGAGCCATATGACCAGCGACTGCCCACCCCAGCATCCATTTGACCATGATTGAATACTATAAACAAGCCTTGTACTGCGATATTTTTGGTCACTCTGTTTAAGGCCCTTATCTCTGAGAGTGTTTGTGTAGGAAGGTCGAGGTCAATGTCTCATGAACCATCAAACCATTATAGTATGACGTAAATGAATAGAAAGCAGAAAAAGTATGTAGAACTGAAACGGGCTGCATCCTGGTTGATGCATGTGCTGATCACTGGCTGTAAAGAGGTTAAACAAGAAAGTGACAAGCAAATGCTCAATTGAGTGAGCGTATCCAACCCCTCAGCTGTGTTTCCTCACACAAGAAAAGCTTAAAGCTACTTAAAAAGGTGACACAGAGGATAAATAGAAGGGATTTCCCTTTTTGTTTTGGAGCGTAAACGATGGACAATTAAAATATAATTTTTGGCTTTCTAAAGGTGGTTTCTGTCTAACAGTGACTCCAAAATGAACTGATTGATGATTTAATGATGAGACGAGATCAGCAAGTTATAGCTTAGCCTTCAAAATAAATTGATTTTGGTATTTTTCCTCAAATATAACCGGTTTGTTTATTTTGGTTTTTGTCTTTCCCTGTTATTTGTCAATGGAGGTGTCGCTGATGAAATGGTAATATCAGTGCTAGGCTTACCTGAGGGAATCTTTTTTTTTTTTCTTTTTTTTTCCCCCTTCTTTGGCTTTAATTATTTTTTATTAGTAAAATTAAGCCTGGTTTAAAGTTATAGACCAGTATAAACCGACATTTGTGAAACTGCCCTGCTATTAAAGGAATGGTTTTATACATTCTAAATTATATATTCTGATTCACCAATTCACAGCTGCTAACAGGTGGACTTTGTTGCCTCCTGTGGGGACAAAACCAGGTTTTGTAGTTTCACATTTAAATTAATAGCATTATTCTATTTGGGAGACACTCTGACTTTGCTTTCTTGATGGTGAAAACACACTCATATCCCACTCTTCCTCCCGACAGCTAAGCCAAGTGTGGTACTGATTGTGTCATTTATAAAACACACTGAAGTGAACAACAGATGCTTTCTGAAAACAGCATGTTCATTGCCGGCATATGGGGGGGAATTAGGATTCAGACCATTAATGAAATGAGAAGATAAAAGAAGAAGGCTGAGTGACTTGTGTTGCATCTTTCCACTGCAGGACAGCCCATGCCAAGGCCAAGGCAGATGCAGCTGAGCAGGCTGCCCAGGCCTCCAACAGAGAGTCCAGCATTGCCAGACTGGTGGCCAAAGAGCTCTCCCCTTCCTTCTACCAGCCAGGTTAGTCGACATCGCCACACCACATTTGAGAAAAAATCAGCAAAATTAATTTAAAAAGCATCAAAAAGGGCCACCTTTTAAGGCATCATAATGTCACTCACGGACTTTGCAGCTGTATGCAAGCTCTGAGTTTCACTAGATATCACGGGAATGCACACTAAAAAAGCTCATTCAGAATTTTTTTTACCTACTTATGTATGATACTGTATGAAGGAAACAGCAAATGTAAAATCCCAACAGCAGAGCTACTTCTCTACTTTGTCTCTGTCCTCACAGCCTGTGATAGTATATCCTTCTGCTGAGGCCCATCACAGGGATAGTCGCGTTTGACTGTCTAAAAAAAGGACCATCTTATTGGGTCGTAGGGATCGTATCAGTTTCATTGCGAGTCTGTCGACACACACATTGACACAAAAGCAAAGGGGCTATTTGGGAGCCTCCTGCATTTCACTCCTGCGCTCTCACTCAGCAGAGAGCTTAAAGAAGTCAGATGCAAACAGAAAGTCGTCCAGCTTTCTAAATGAATTGTCTCTCACTTTCTAAATGACTAGTCTTTCACTAAAAGTCTGGTTGAGACTGGCGCTGGCTGAGAAACATCTGCTTCAAAACACTTCACAAATTTAAGGATCGGACTTTTGATATTCTATACTTATTTTTAGCATAAGAAAAGTATCATATGTACAGCTGTACGTGTCCTACAGCTGGTAATCATCATCAGCATGTGTATTCATCCACAACAAAAAATGTTTCCCAACAAATGGTAATTTCTTCTGTTTTAGTAACATTTGCTCAAAACTACAGTGTTCAGCTGTTCAATTCAAACCAAATATGAAGAGAAAGCGTATCAGTGCATTGTAGGTATTGTCTGACAATATCAAAAATATTAATTGTTTTTAGCATATTTCATTTTGGGACAAATTTTCTCCTTTGGATTTTTTTCTGAAATGTGAGCAAACAGAGAATTTATTTGTGTTTAATGGAAAACTGTGTACTCCAGCGAAAGCTTATTAGGAAGGGGATGCAGCAGCTGAATGCATCTCTAATATCCTCTGTAGCTGCTTCCTGTGCTCTCAGGAGGTTTAAGGGGATGATACTTATAAAGACAATCTGTGACCTCTCAGCCCTGCAATACTTGAGCTAACATTTTTATCAAGGGAATCTTTTTTTAATGGAAAAATGTCCGTTTTTAAATTGAGCTCCTTTAGCTATTTTCGAGCCAACAGGAATTTATCTAACAGTGAGCTGTGCTCCATGATAATTATGAAACAGCAGAAAGATATTAATATAAATGAATATTTCTAAAAAATATATTTACCTGCAAAAATAACTCAATAAATAATAATAATAATAATAATTATTATTATTATTATTATTATTATTATTATTATTATTATTATTATTATTATTATTATTCTCACTGTAAGCTAAAGGTTCAGGCCTCACTGATGTGAGCACTCGGTTATAGACTCCTTTTGTACTTAACCCAATACTGCGCTATGCACCATGAAGTGTGACCTCTCTGTGAGCACAGTAGCCACACCCATCTGCTGCTCAATTATTCGGTTTGTGAATGGCAGCCAATCAGAATAAAGCTGGGTAAAGTGAGAGGCACTAAAACAGCTACTTTCACATGGTGAATGACTGAAACCACTAAAAACAAAAGAGGATTATTTTGAACTTTAAGTCATGACACTCACATGATAAATCATTTATGATGTTTGTAAATCCCTAATGGATCGAGGCATTATCATTTAGTGTTAAAAATGCCATGGCCTTTTTATGGAACATTAATTCTAATTATCGTGATTAGTACATACCCATGCTACAGTATCTCTAATTTCGGTCCATTGTTAGGTGGTTCCTTGGCAACATGACATCATATATAATTCATAATTCAAGTTTGTGGCTATAAATTACATGTTATTGTCATTCAAATAATATTATTTTAATGAGGCATTGTAGGTGCATAAATGTTGGTAGATGGTTGAAGGCAACATGATGGCGTCATATGTTTTTTAGATAAGAACCTACACAGGTCTAAGACGTACCTGTGTGCCAAGTTTCATTAGTCAGTTTGTGATTGTGTAGGAGGAGTTTGAAAGATCACTTTCTGTATCTATTATACATTTGAAATTATGGAAAAAATAATAATTCCTCTGACTTATAATGACTGATGGTAGAAACCAGTGATTAAAAAGTATTTGAACTGGCTTTCAGGTCCTGAGTATCTGAAGAAGAGAGCGTTACAGTTGGCCGTGGAAGGCAGTGAGACCACAGAGACCATCATGCATGAACCCCTGCTAGCTGAGGAGGAGCCACTGCCTACACCACCTGATAGCCCGGTTATGAATGAACTGGACAGCCTCATGCCTAGCTCATCCCCAGGTCGCACGCCTTCTCCAAGCCCAGGCATCATGAGCAAGGAAGAGCCCAAACTCCTCAGTCCAGGTAGCTGGAATGAAGACAAAACCAGTAAAAGTGGTGGAAGTAGTAAACTCAACGGCAAGCAAGGCAGTCGTCCCACTACTCCCCCTGCTCCTGCTTCAACTGTATCTGAAGGAGGAGGAGGGGCCACCAGCAGTCGTGGCCCATCTCGTACCCCGAGCCGCCAGAGCAACAAGAACGAGCAGGGTTCTGACATGGAGATCAAGCCACTGCAGAAGTTTGACTCTGAGGCAAAAGCATCAGATGCCACTACAGCCCCTGCTGCCCCTGTAAGGAATAGCCTCATCTCACCAGATGAAGAAGAAGAAGAAGAAGAAGAAGAAGAAGAAGAAGCACCACGTCCCATCTCCAAAGCTCCCTCCAAAACGCCTTCCAAAGCGTCTTACAAATCTGTAACTCCTGAGTCTAAAGCCTCCGAGGTAAAAAGCGAAAGAGCACCACCAACAAAAGAAAGAGTGACACCTGTATTTGAGAACAAAGTGGAGTCCAGGGAACCGAGCAGGCCTCCCAGTAAAGCGGAAACAAAACCGCTACCAAAACGGCAACCCAGCCCAGCTCCAGCTCCAAAACCTGCTCCGAGTCTTGAACCTAAAATGGCACCAAAGCCAGTGGAAGCAAAATCTGTAGTTGCCAGACCGGCAGCGAAGGTGGAACCCAAAGCCGAAGTCAGACCCAAGCCCATCCTGTCGAGCCTCAGTAACGAGGTGACCCCAGAGTCTTTGGACATGGAGGTAAGACAGTAAATATACACAGTGACTCACTCTTCATTATTTTTTGCTACATCAATATTGTCACAACATGTATGGTGGTGTCAGTCTGTCAGTCCAAGACTTTGGTCAACAGCTATCAGATGGATTACTGTTAAATTTTCCACACACATTCAGTGTCCCCAGAGATTAATTCTTACCAATGTTCGTATAAGCATTTAGCTCAGTACAGCCTTAAAAATATACACTAGCATTACTGCTGACATTAATGACCATAAGTCCTAGTTTCTAACTAAAGAGCACAGCTTGACACCATCATAGTCAAATAAAAGTGTCCACCATATCCAGTCCCGTTATTTACCGTATAAGGGCAAAGCCAGACTACTGTTCTGGTTTATTGGAGGGGGAAATAGTTGTAAATGAATGCTATGTCTCCTTTTTCTCTATTTTAAATGTGCATTTGCTTTATATTGCCTGCCAATTTCAGGTATTAATGTTACATTGGTTTTAAAGTTTTAGCTAAGCATGTACCCTAAGCATCAGCATTAAGTTATAATTATGGCTATAAATATATCAGCCAAACATCTGTATCAGCCAGTACTAACCTCCACCAAATAAGATGACATTTACTAATCTCAGTGGACGATAATTATCTGTTATGTCCAAACAATTTTCTTTTAGTTTCCCTAGATGGGAATAAATAAATTTAAAAAATACACTTAGAAATAGCATGCATGACAAAGAAATGCTCACTTTTACATTGTAAATATTTGTTATAAGCTAGGATTGAAGCAACTTTTATTGAAATATGCTTAAATTGGTTTGTATTCGGGAGGTAGAAGACAGTGTACACAATGTACCTGCCAATATGAAGCTGGAATGTGGGAGGCTGATTATAGCTTAGCATAAAGACAGGAAACAGGAAGAAATGGCTAGCCTAGAGCTAACCAAAGCTAGCAGATTGCTCCCATCTGCACCCGTAAATCTCACAAAAGGGATAAGGGGTGTTAATTTCTGATCTTTAAAGGTGCTGGTAGGACAATTTTCTATATGTTAAACCCCTTTTTCAGTCTTGCTCCTCCTGCAGTCTTATTTTGAACTTGCTCACAAGATATGTTTTGGGTACAACCATCTCCTATAAATAATAATTTTGATAATCCTTTATTAATTCTTTGCATTGAAAAGATAAAACCCAACGTGAACAGCCGCAGATTAGGAAGGTTAAAGAAAAACAAACAAAGTGTCTTAATAAGGTTTATGGCCATCACATGCAACTAGAAAGGTTTCAGAGCACTCTGAGTCTTTGTGATTCTCCAGCCTGCTGGAACACTATAAACACCATTCATCCAGAGGATTTTGCCTCATTTGGTGTGTTGATGGTGGTGGGGAGTGCTATGTATGACGTAAATTCAAAATCTCCCACAGGGCTTCATTAGGTTCAGATTTAATGTCTGTAGGGGAGAGCCAGTAGACAAGCTGACCCACGACCTTTATCTGGGCGATCTCAAACACTGTTTGTCATTTGACCCTGAATTTAGTTAGCATTTTCCTTTTTTGTGGGAAAGGAACTAAAGTCTGTCAAAATCTTCATGAGTATCCCAAGTATCATTATCAATTTTGTGTCAGAAGCTAATTATCTCAGGTTTAAATGTCATCACATATGTTCATGGAGTCCCATTGTACAAAAAGGGGTGACTGCATTACTGAAAGTGGAGCTCTGATTTGGTAGAGTATGCAATTTTCACCACGGCATCGGGTTGAGCTCACACAATATTATTCCAGGATAAATATGTAGTCTTAATCCTGTAAAGCCTGAACCATGAAATAATTCCCATAAAATTCTGTTTTTATAGTGTTTTTTTTTAATCTTCTGACAAGTTTTTTTTTTTTTTTAAGGAAATCAAATGTAAATTTGCATATCTAAGCTTTGATTTGTAGTCAGTACACTCAGTGTTATACAGTTTAAGTTCATGTAGCATCATCATAATGAATAACTGACATTATATTTGATGTTATATATGTCGCTTTGGATTTTTCCAAGTGCAAACAGTAGAAGAAGAGGCAGGGGCTCTACTCCCCCCCCCAACATAGACATCAGGATACATTTTCTCAAACATTTCTAAGAATTTTGCATTTTAAGTAGCATTTATGTTACATGTTGGTGTTTATTATCATTATTATCAGCATTATCAAGGGTTCAGTTATCAATATTTCTTTGAGTATTTTATTTTTTTAGCTCTACTTAGAAACTAATTTCTCTGATGACTCATTGTCCCCCTTTCATGTGGTAAGCTGATCCACGAAACCACTCTTTTGGACCTTGTATTTAATTGTGTGATTAGAAACCACTCTTTTGGACCTTGTATTTAATTGTGTGATTAACTTAGGCTTAGTTCTAAGGTTTTAATTGATATGAATTTATGAATTTTCTGAATTTGTTGTTTTATTTTTGTCTCATATTTCCTTAGCTTTTGAATTATGGCAAAAAGAAAAGTAATTTGGATTAATTTTAAGTTAACTTGCACATCCATGGAGGCATTTTACTCCTGGAAACCGTTCCTCCCATCAGGACACCGTAATGTACCCTTCTACATAACAAGACCACTGGGTCCCTTTACTGTTGGAGCTAAGGTTTAGGTTTTTCCTTTAATTTTTCACTCATCTCCAGTTTTGACTGGATCCGCTGTCCTTATTCTGCATTGAGTTCTTTTCCTTTTTTTAAGGGCCCAAACACCATCATGATCTGCATGGTAATCCTGCTCAACATCGGCCTGGCCATTCTCTTCGTTCACATTTTGTCATGAGACATTTTCCACCTCCTCAGGTAATAAACACACCATTAAAATGTACTCAGAAGAGGCGATACAGTAAAAATAAACATGAATCCACTAATATCAGTTTGCTACAGGTTAACGGCAGTGTCAGAGAGAGATGGGCTTCCTCCTCCTCCTCAGTAAAGACCAGAGATCAAAGACAACACTGAGGAGGAACAGAAGCCTCACGCAGACCGCTGCAGCTCCTAGGATGGTTTTTGTTGATATGACTTTGTGAGGCTCTGCGAAGCTCCTCTCTTTCAAGAGGTTAGAGAAACTGAAGGACATTGAAGGGCTGGCACTGTTCAGTGCATCTAAAAAAGATTTGTTTAGAGGAAAAAAAAAATTTGGTGGGTGAATGGTAGGTTATGTCCCGGTGATGATGCTGAGGAAAGAAGGGTGGCACTCAAGAATTCAACTTTTTCACAGTGTGTCATGAGCGTGTCAACATTTTTGCAATATGGCTTTTAAATAAACACTTAATTGGCATTCAGACTATCTGGATCTCACAAGAGTGAATCAGGCACATAAGACAAACCCAGCTAGATACGTTTTTAATCGCCAGACTGAATATTCTCTCTATAAGGCCTTGAACTTGATTGTTTAGACACAAAAACTACAGCAGATGTGTGAAGGGTTTGGGCGTGATAACTGTTACTGTCAGGAGTAGGGATCTCGCGTGTGTTGAGTCTCATCAAGAAGCTCTCCGAGTGGTACTGTAAAAAAAAAGGGGTTTATTTACTGGCAACATTTTCAAAGCGTTGTGAGTTTCTGCAAAATCTTTGAGACTGTGGTGTACTACACTGTGAAGTTTTCAGTTTTCACTGGGATTTATGTGCATTTCCTGTCATTCTGCTGCTTTGCTTTGGGGAAGCTGATAAACCAAATAGAGAAGGGAAAATAAGAAGCTTATGAGTGCCGCTGCTGCTGCGTAGGTTCCTGTGGTGTCGTGCAATGCTGTTAAGCACCCAGGCAGCTTTAATACAGAGTTGTGCAAGTTTTGCAAGAGGAAAATGATGGCTGGAGTTTATCTAATTTGAAACTGTCACTGTATGTTGTTGTAAGGTTGCTGGATCTACATAATTATCTTGCAGCAGGGAGTGGGTTGGGTTCATTATTTTATGTGTCAGTGTAGAAAACTGTCCACTGCTTTATTTTCAGGGCCTGTTGTAAGATCAGCTTTTGTACACATGAGAACACTTTGTATGCATCTGTGTTTTTGTACCTTTTTTGAAGTGCACATCTTTACAGCATTCAAAATATTCTGTTGTAGGATTTTGGGGGGAGGGCTCATTAGTACAATCAGAAGTTGTAATCCTAAAATTTGTTTCCCAAATGAGTCAGATTACCTCATGTTTGTGAGATGGAGGAAAATAGAAAGATTCTTAACTCCATGTCTTATATTGAGAAGAAAGCTTTTATTTTCTTAACCCAGTTAGGATTTAAAAGGAACAGAGTTTTAGCTGCAGTTTTTTTGTTGTTGTTTTTTTTTTTTTTTTTTGCCTTTGAGTTTGCAAATGTACACACAGACCACTAGTGGAAAAAGTCTACAAGCATATAAAACTGTTTTGAAAGTAGTAAAAACCAGTTTAAGAAATTCCCCATTGTGGTTTACCTGTAATCTACCAATGCATTCAATGATTCATACCAGTGTCAATGCAAATGTGGAAGCCACTTTATTTTTTCTGTTTTAGAGCAGAAATACAGCTGAAGTCAAATAAAAACTTTTACACTTGTGAATCTTTTATTTTTGATGATCTGTAACAGCTCCCACTGTTAGCTTTGAGATTTTGAACGTACTCGTCATCATTCATTACCCTGAAGAAATCCAGTCTAGTAACAGAAGAAGAAAGTATTTTTAAACACCACCTGTCTGCCAGCATGAGACGCCCTCTGTCCCTGCCTTGCGCCACAGTGAATATCACACCCAATTTTAAACCAAGGCAGCGTTTGGCCTTGGTGGTTCTCAGTCAGGCATGTCAAACCTCATCCGAATGGTAAATATGGGTGTAACAATCCTGAAATCTACACCAAAAATCAAACAGTGACAATAGATCATTGTACTGTCTATTTGGAAATTGTTCAGGTATGGAGAAAATGGACAAACATCAGAATAGAGGGGGTTCTGCCAGCAATAAAGACTTTTGTTTTTTGTTATTCCTTTCACATATAGTTCCTTATTACAGAGCACTGGACTGGAAAGTGAAAAATAAAACTCAAACCAAGTCTTTTATTCTGTGATATTAAATGGAAAATGAATCAAACAGAATAGGTTTCCACTAAGATAACGCTATATGTAATGCAAGTGCCCTCACATACACACAGCCTCTCCTCCTCTCTGGTGGGTTCTCTTTGTCTGGTTGCTGATGTCCTCACCTTTCGTACCAAAGACTTCTGTATTCTTCCCAATGTTCTGTTATAAAACTATAAATACACCTGTTTTGGTAAATTTAAAAAATAATTTAATGCCAGACCATGAACAGAATGTAGATTGAATAATCCAGCTCAAGATCTGAGCCAAAACTGAGGTGTGAATTGAGCCATGATCAAAGGAGAATTGTCACACTATTAATTGTGATATCAACATTCTAATGCCTCAGGTCAGGTAAAGTACCTGCAATAGTTTGAAATGTCAAGCACTTCAACATGGTGTTGAGTCAGCATGTGTGGAGCATCACTGCCCTCAAGTGACTAGAAAGGAGTATGAGTCCCCATGCTGGCAACATCCGTAAAGATAGATTAGGTCATGTTAAAAGTACACAGTGGATAAAAGTATTTGATTCCAGCCAAGACATAATTTTGTTTTTTGCTAAAACTGAATAATCTGAAAATTATAAAGAAATTCTACTATCCTGTAATTCATTAGCACAAATGGTGCGTTCAATTAAACTTTATGAAACTAGATGGTAGAGATTAAGAGAAGGAATATGCTAGCACTTAATACTCTTCTCCCTCATCGTCGTCTACCACGCTGTCAGCGCCCACCTCCTCATAATCCTTCTCCAGAGCTGCCATGTCCTCTCTGGCCTCGGAGAACTCTCCCTCCTCCATACCCTCACCCACGTACCAGTGAACAAAGGCACGCTTAGCGTACATCAGATCGAACTTGTGGTCGAGGCGAGCCCAGGCCTCTGCAATAGCAGTGGTGTTGCTCAGCATGCACACAGCCCTCTGGACCTTGGCCAGATCTCCACCAGGAACCACAGTGGGGGGCTGGTAGTTGATGCCAACCTTGAAACCAGTGGGGCACCAGTCCACAAACTGGATGGTGCGCTTGGTTTTGATGGCGGCAATGGCAGCATTGACATCTTTGGGCACCACATCACCACGGAACAGCAGGCAGCAGGCCATGTACTTGCCGTGACGAGGGTCACATTTCACCATCTGATTGGCTGGCTCAAAGCAAGCGTTTGTGATCTCAGCCACTGAGAGCTGCTCGTGGTAAGCCTTCTCTGCAGAGATGACTGGAGCATAGGTGGCCAGGGGGAAGTGGATACGGGGGTATGGCACCAAGTTGGTCTGGAACTCTGTCAGATCAACATTGAGGGCACCATCAAAGCGGAGGGAAGCAGTGATGGAGGACACAATCTGACTGATCAGCCTGTTCAGGTTGGTGTAAGTAGGACGCTCGATATCGAGGTTCCTACGGCAGATATCGTAGATGGCCTCGTTATCTACCATGAAGGCACAGTCAGAGTGCTCTAGGGTGGTGTGGGTGGTCAGGATGGAGTTGTAGGGCTCCACCACAGCGGTGGACACCTGGGGAGCTGGGTAGATGGAGAACTCCAGCTTGGACTTCTTGCCGTAGTCGACAGACAGACGCTCCATCAGCAGGGAGGTGAAACCAGAGCCGGTGCCACCGCCGAAGCTGTGGAACACCAGGAAGCCCTGAAGACCAGTGCACTGATCAGCCTGAGGACAGAGAGAAGAGATGACAACCAGCCATGAGTTACTTCATTCAATAATTTAATTCGTGTATACATTTTATACTAGCTGCTTTGAATTCACCCACCAGTTTGCGGATCCTGTCCAGAACCAGGTCAATGATCTCTTTGCCGATGGTGTAATGTCCACGGGCGTAGTTATTGGCAGCATCCTCCTTGCCTGTGATCAGCTGCTCAGGGTGGAACAGCTGGCGGTAGGTACCACTGCGCACCTCATCTATGCAAACCACATTACTTAGTTTTGCTTTAAAGATGTTTTAATTTTCCTACATTATTGTTCAGCTAGTGGTGATGACACTTACCGATGACAGTGGGCTCCAGGTCCACAAAAACAGCTCTGGGGACGTGCTTTCCAGCTCCAGTCTCGCTGAAGAAGGTGTTGAAGGAATCGTCTCCTCCTCCAATGGTCTTGTCACTGGGCATCTGTCCGTCCGGCTGGATCCCATGTTCCAGGCAGTAAAGCTCCCAGCAGGCATTGCCGATCTGGACACCAGCCTGACCAACGTGCACTGAGATACACTCACGCTGTGGAAGTGAGATGGAAAAGCCATTTATTTGGTGACTTCATTTTTGACTTATTATCCAAAAATTACATTGTTAGACCTGCTCTTCAACTAACGTAAAGTTACCTGGGGGAATATGACTTCATGATTTAGGACTGTGATTTCAGCAATACTGGAATTTTAGTATAGAACATTAAAAATATTTAATCGTTCCATCAGTCAGCTATGTAATTTGTCCCTTGCAACAAATGAATCACACTTGAGAGAATTCTTAACACGGTTAATGCTTTAGCGAGCCAAGTTGAACTTGAAGTCAGTTTTCACTGTCACTTGCATAGCTCTCTTAACCTAATTACATCGCAAAGGTAACTTATGCGGAAGTCAGGCCAGGTTATGTTTAGAGTTTTGGTTTAAGGGAAGTTGAATTCATCACTGATGTCATTTTTCTTCTGAAGTAACACCTTTTATACGCAACCTGTTAAACCACATCCTACCAACAAAGGACCAGTCACAGAAATTTGCCTGTATTCAGGAATGTCAGCTTTATTTTTTTTATCATTTGCATCTGATTTGAGAAGTCGGTGCTCAACTAATCCATTTTGGTGCAGAAGAGTCAAATGATGCACCAAACTTGCCTGTTGTGTAGCACTCACAGACCCTGCAGAAGGATCATAACCACTGTCTGATAATCATCTCCGGCTCAGGCTTTAGGTTTTGTAGAACCAACTAAATCAAAGGTTGGAGAACATGGTCTGCAGTACATCCTCCGGTCTCTCACTCTTCAGTAGTGACATCAGTTTTTGGTTTTGTCTCAGCTTTAACTTTCTTTAGACCCTCTTACATCAGAAACATTTTCGTCATAAATTAGCAGGTAGACACTGGAAAGAGATCACATCGATCACGGGAGAGAGACGGATAGATGGCAGCCTGTGCGCAACTTTTTGCGTATTTGGGGAGCGCACCCGCGCGCTATGGTCGCTGTGGCGAGAGCAATCTACAGGAGATGGCGACAGATTCAGGACGTTCAGAATGTGTGGGATCTTAAAAATTCCGCCCGCTATTTGCCGCTTTCTATAGTCCGAAATCGCTACTCCAATTTACATAGCCTGTCCGCTACTCATGTGGTCACCTGAGGCCTTTTACGCTCTGAACTAACAACCCTTTAGAAATATGTCGCATGTGAGCCAGGACAAGACAATCGAGAACAAACAAGTGCACATCAGAGTTCAGCAAAGCAAACACAGCTGTAGATAATGAAAGACTTCTTTACAGAAAAGTAGCCCATACACGCCCAAAAACATTAAAGACATGAGAAGAAGAAGAACAATTGAGCTTCAAGTGAGTTGGTTTGTTTGTAGTCTGCGGTCGCAGGTTCATAAAGGCCAGGATCCTTCAAAGAGTTGTTAGTCATGGGAATGCTTCAGCCTGAAAGCAGGATGACCTGTTGACAACTGGCTCAGTGCGCGCACAAGAAGCCGGAAACGGACACAAGCAAATAACTTGAATTTTGGATGTGTCCTGTCATATCGCACCAAAAATACAGTCAGGACAGCGTAGTCTGGTTAACAGTGTGAATTTTATCCTTTTAAAAATGAAATTGGTGTTGCTAAATCCTGCTGATACTTCCGGCTAATCTCAGTTAACGGTCTGCCACCTGATTATTGACTATTTCAGTAATGATTTTTGATTAAATCCACACTTAATAAGAGAAAAAAAATTTACTCACCATGTTTCCTGAAGTCAAGAAGTTTCAGAGCCGAAATGAGGAAAACGAGGAGAAATTAGTTAATTCCTACAAACAGGCTTTTATGAATCCTGTGTAAGAGATAAATGACCAGCTCCTGCTAAACGGTGGTTTTTATAACCCTAGATCCTCCGGAAACAGTCTGCTGGATCTGATTGGTTTGATGTCGCATGAGACCTGCGCCTATTGGTTAAAATGGACCAGACGGTAGGATGGAGATCTCTGCAGGTGCTTTCTTACGATTTCTTAAATATTTGTGGAGTACAACATGGTTTTAACAACTTATTAGGGCTATTTCATTATATGAAGAATGGATATGTTACACTTCCATATGAACATTTGGCTTTTATAGACTTCAGAATTATAAAGAAACATTATGAAGATCTAACATCTGGGCTTAATGGATCTGGTCACTTGCCACTTATTTGCAAAGAACACTGATTCGTCCAACCAGAAGGTTTTGCATTAAGTTGTCCAAGCGATGCAGGAACGGAAGAAAGGAGTCCTGATAGTGGGATCTGGAGCTTCTATTCTCAGGTTTGTGTGCACCTCTACCTCAAACCTCAACTAAAAGCTCTGATCCAGAGCGGTTTTAAATAATAGCCTTGAGCCAGAGAAAAGTATGTTGGAAGTTGAGTAGTCACCAATCCTGGAATTTTGCTGATTTTTTTTTTTTGTTCCAGGCTGACTTCAGCCACCTTCTCACTCCTCTTCTAACAGAGATACCCACAGCACGCAGGTGTGAAACTGAAGATGGGCAATAATACTGCCATTGTGGCTGTTGTTCAGGATTATGTGAAAAGGTTGGAAATTCAGTGGAAAGGTACTAATGATGCAGATTGGGGAATTGGGTTATTGCCTGGAAAAGAAGCTAGATGAGGTTCAAAAACAGCAACAAGGATGTGAGAAAACAGGTTATGGAAATCTCCTCATTTGCTGGTTCAGGTATGTTTAAAAAGGTCTTTGTTCCCCATCATCCGAATGTTATCGATACACTTTCCAAACTATTTAAATAGGTTTTATGGTTGAAGGAACTTAAAATAAACATCTGCATTAAGTTACTCGAGTAAAAAGATATCAAAGCTCAGGCTTAGTGCTAATACAGTCATAAAGATCACTAGTATGACTGAAGACACTGATCCTACACTTTGTCTTTGGAGCTATAGTAAAAACAGTCATCCGTCAGCTCATGTAGCTTTAATGCATGATCTGGCAAGACAATCGAAAAATAAATAAAAATGGGGTGAGAAATTCTGCAGTGTGACTCCAACTTTTCTAGTATGTGGTGAATTAATTTAGCCACTTGAATGCTTGTAGTTAAGGATATATGTTCATCAGATAGTTTAAAGTTACATTTGTTGTGTAGCCTGTAAATGTGGCCAAATTAGAAGTTTATTAAAGCCTCCTGCAGTAGACCTGCTGTTTTAAATGTAATGTAAATCCAACGGGTTTTTCTGCTTTGCATCTTTGTTTATAACCTCTCTTTTATGGATCTGTTACGTGACTACAAGTATAGCTTTGAACATCAGAGTTACATGTTTCTTTTATTTGTATTAATTTTTATTTCAATTAATTTTAGTTTCCACAGCGTATTGAGTCATTCTGTTTCATTTTTATTAATTGAAAATATTCAGTTTCACTGTTAGCTTTATATTTTAATGCGTATATAAACATTTTCAGGTTATGTAGACATCCTTGTCTCAATAAACTGATTTACAAATTTGACCTCATCAAAGACCAAAAATAAGATTTAGTGTTTATTTTTATTTTAGTTAATCTTGTAAGTGCATTATCATTTTAGTTAACCTTCTTTTTAGTTTGTATTTTTGTTTCAGTTCATTCTTTTTCTAACACCTAGTTTCAGTTTTTACTTCACTTTTAGTACCTATAATAACCTCCTGCACATAATGGACTTGAAACAGTAAATTGATGTGAGCCAAATCCACCCCTGTGAAAGCTGGGTTCCCGCCCAGTGCTTATGCTCTGGCACTGCCCCTGCATGAAGGGCTTCTCTCAACGCAGATGTCCTTGGCTGGTGGATGATCTAACTTATCAGGACATACAGTGTGGAATCAGATTTTGGCCTCTTGTCAAGCAGGGGTGCACCGAGGGGAAGGAATGCCAGGTGGCAGGGTGCTGTTGCCATTATTGACAGCATGACATTTCCTGCATGATGATGAATCAATTACTGTATAACCTACATTTTGGTTACCCCACATTCTGCCTTTAGGCCTCTTTTTGGTGACGTTACACGTCCACTTCACAGGTTTAATAAGAAATAAGTTGTATGAGGCTGCTGACATTCAGTTTTCTATACTTAACAATATTTAATCTCTTACAGTTCCTGACAAACTTATATTGCAGTGTCAGGGATATATATGACAGTATAAAAGGAAATAATGCACCATTTTATTAGAAAAATATTAAAGTCCAAAAAGCTAAAATTGCCATTGGAATTTATCTTTTAAATCCTTTCTATTACTTCGAGTCTCTGAAATCTGGGCTATTTTCTGCTTTTCTATTTTTTATTTCTCATCCATCCTATAGAACTACTGGAGGTATGAGCAGAGGTGGCAGCAGACAATATGAACGGGGGCATTTGGCTGAAGTCACTTTGTTATTCCATTAAAAATAAATAATCATCATAAAAAGGATTCATGTTTTAAACCTTATACACATAGAAAAATGTAGGCAAAGTTATGAGAGGGCAAACATATCTGTCTCAGATTACATGCGGAGACAAAGCTGGAGACAAATGGGAGAGAAATTTTTTCCAGAGTACACCACTCACTAAAACATTTGACTGTGCTCAGTATCCTCGACACATTTACATTTTGTTTTGCAATTTTCAAACAGTCCTGCTTTAAAAATAGCTGTACGACCTGATGAATGGCACCTTTATTGTTTTATAGATGTGAGGGGTACTTCAAAGTCTGACCCATCTGCTCATTGTCCTCATCAGTCATGGTGGTTAACACGATTCACTGTAAACTAATTATAACTGAGCTCACACTGCAACAACTTATCAGTTACATGATTGTTTAAGTTTCATTACAAAACTGTATGAACTGGCATAACTTATAGTTGAGGTGTATCGGTAGGATTCAGCTGAGGTGCACAGTGACTTTTGTGGGCATAAGCCTGGACTGCCACTTCAGTAATGAGAAGGGAAATGAACACCTCCAAATCATGAACTGAAATGGATAAAACAAGTGGAGCACTAACAGCGTGTGTGGATCAGCTTCAACATGTTGATTCAGAACATCTGTGGAGCATCACTGCCCCCAAGTGACTAGACTTTAATC